ATGCTTTCAATCATTGTAAAAATGTCTTCTCTACCTCTCTTTTTTCCACCTTTTGTACTTGTGTGTATCCTGTAGCTTACAGAGGAGATGAAACAAGCATTTCTGCTTTTCTCCTTACATTTATCCATCTACCTTTGAGTTCCTTAGTGTGGAGCAAATTCTGTTCTTGCACTGGAGAGGTAAAACATTGAGGAAATGCTAATTTATTTTATCACTTTGTAATGTCTGTTCCAGTGGACCAAGATAGTGTTTGCAAAAGCTTTATCTGTGGTTTTGCTTCTTCAATGCACACACAAAAAAGGTGTTCTGGCAAAAGTGGGTTTGAAAAGGTAGCTCTTGCCAGTTCAGCAATCAGCCACACAGGCAAAAGCAGGACTGGTTTCAGGGGAAGCTGAAGCTGTGTCCAGACACCAGGCTTGGAGCTGGGTCAGTTAAGAAAAAGAAATCTAAATGGAACTCCGAGCTCTGTGTCTCTCCCTGTCCTCACTCTGCCAGTGACAATTTAAAGGTAGGCGTGGAGGAAAGAAAAGCCATTTCTGCAGCCAGAGACTGTTCTACTTTCTGGATGTCCTATGGCTTACAGGCAGTGGGCTTCTTAAAACGATCTCAAAGCTCCTTTGAGAAACTTAAAAATAGGAGTTGCTGCAAATTGTCTTTTGTAATGTTAATATTTGAAGCTGCTGAAAAGGTGCCCTTAAGGGCTTTTCTCACTAGATCTTAACCCCAGCACTTGGCTCCTGTTCACATTGTTCTGTGTGTGCTAGGTGAACGTGTCGCTGCTCCCACAAATCTGGTGTGGGGATCAGAGGGGAGAAAACACTTGATACTAGAGGGAAAATGACCAAAGTGACATGGTGAATTGGAGTTCTTTTTCAGCTCCTGACACTATCTCCAAATTGCAAAGTATGTTAACATATTTCAGGCTGCTCAGTCTCCTCAAACCTTAGATAACCGTATCATTGTGTTAGAGCTGAAGTGCAAGGCCTGGCACAGCAGACTCATCTTCTTCGGTATTGAGCTGTATATTGCAGTATTATATTTATCTTCCTGCTTTCGCTCTAATTCAGAGGAGAGAGTGATAGCAGCAAGATTGTGAGCTGTGTAATCTGTCCAAACAAAATGTAGGTAAATGAAATGAGAGTATGTTTGAGGTTGGTTTGAATGTAAATGCTTCTTTCTGTTTTACCATTTCCTTTAAAAATATGTTCACTGGTTAGCAAAACAAGCAGACAGCAACAGAGCCACACTGTTATTCTCATCAAAGACAAGTGAGTTTTCAAAGAATAGGAGAGAAACTTCAGTTTTAAAATTCTATGTAATTTCCAAATTTTAAAAGCAAGCTTAAAATGTCTGCACGAAAAAAAACACCATCCTGTCATGTA